AGGAAGAAAACTAAAATGAACCATGTATTGTTGGATTGGGATTGTGTTATCTGTGTTAGGAGGTATCTGTGTGAACTCATAGTACGTTGGTTCAGGTTTTCTAAGAAACCGATGCCAAGATGGGACTAGACATGCAAGAGATTAATTGGGAAAAACTCCTCAGAGATTTTGAGGAGCTGGGAGAACCAGCACATTAGACCGTACTATAGGCCTTAGCCTTGTGGAAAAGGGAGGAAGGGAAGAAAGGAAGGTTGAGTTGGAAAAGTCTAAGCTGTGGAGCAGTTCTAGGAGTTTCCGCAAAGCTGACAAGGAGTCCTTGAGCCGGAGTTGCCCATCAGAGGGGTCCCAAGTCTCAGCAATAGGCCTGCCTTAATATCTCTGCTGTGCTCAGTCATTGGCTAGGAGCAGCTGGTGGGAAGCATAGCCTTGGCTGAAACAGTGATGGATTTCTGAGCTTAGCAGCTGGGACTGTCAGTCAATTATGCTTCCTGCAGTCAGAGATCTGAGAGGCACATTTTCATGACTGCCACACATGGTTTTCAATAGTTATAGATATAGAAATAAATGTATAGAAATAATGATGTAAATGTGAGCGACTTAGATAAATGGCTGATTTCAGAGCTGCAAAAAATAGCACAAGATAAGCCTGCAACGTGTTGTTGTGCCAGAGAACAAGAAGTGCTCAAAGAATGATGGAGAACATGTACGTAGGACACAGAAGCCAACTTGACCAGGCCGAACTCAGCTGGGCAAACTGGGAACAATTTCAGCATCAAAATAAATAATGATAGTAGTGGATTATAAGCCTTTGGATAAAATGAGATTCCATGAGTTTATACTGATCCAAATAAATGAATAACTTGCGAGTCTGAGGGCTGAAAATTTAAGTAGTTCAACGTGCCTCCTCACAAAATACCTATTAATTATAAAAGGAAAAGAGCAACGTTACAGTGGAGAAGCCTGGTAGACACTACCCTGATCAAGCGATCCAAGTGAACATCGTTAGGAGGTTAAGGGAACAATACAGCATCTCTTTATGATGTTCTTGCCAGTGATTCATAACTTGGATCTGATTACAGTGAAACATCGGACAGACCAAAATAACCGGCCTGGACTCTTCAAAAGTGTTAAGGTCACGATATTCTAAGACAGACTGAGGAAGTTTTCCAGACTAAGGATACATGACAACTAAATGCAATACTCGATTATGAACTAGATCCTTTTTTCCCTAAGTACTATATTGGAACAATTGGCAAAACTTGAGTAGAGTTTATGGATAGTAGTGTGTCTATGTTGATATCCTGGTTCCAGTCATTGTTTTTTGATTATGTAGGAAAATACCCTGCTTTCTAGGAAAGGTACACTAAAGTATTTGGTGGGGGGCCGGGGGGCGGAGGGGATGATATAGTCTTCGTATAGTTTTGTGCAACTTTTCTGTAAGTTTAGATTGTTCCAAAAGTATGCACACACACTGTTGAGTAATATAGGTAATTGTAGACTGTTATCTAACCTATCAATATATTGCTTATTACTTCTCATCTTGGGTTAGAGGGATAAAGGATGGGGAGGACTGACAAAAATGTGATCATCTATAAATGAAATCTATTTAAAGAATTGTACTCTCATGTATAGGCATAGAATACCTTTTCTCCACGTTAGCAGAATATTAGGATCCCATGGTTTCAAAGGTATCTTAAAATTGGAAAGTATGAATTTATTAAACTATTAAACTGTTTGCTATGGAAACGAGTGGGAGGGGAAGATTTCAATTGTGGGAGATCTTTTGAGAAAGCCTGTATGTGAGACCTATGTTGGTTGTGTTTATATCAGGAACACACCTCATCATATCTAATGGAAACTGTTCACTTTTAACAGAATCTAAATTTCTCTTTTAGTTTGGAGAAGCAGTTCGATCCCAGCACTAATTCTCTTTGTGTTTCTAACTGATAGACGGAAAGATGACTTCCTGTTGGACTGCTAGGTCCCTTTTTGTATGCTGATTGTGAATTATCCATTCGAGCCAGACATGTGTAATTGAAGCAGAATTACCGATACACTCAAGAAAGCAGAACTTATAAATTTGTCTAAAGCAGCATAATGTCATGGCTCATAATTTAATGTTCTCTTTTCTTACTGGGCGACTGATCAACGCACCACTGTCAGTTTCTGAGCCATCTTTGGCTGGGGGAGGGAATCTCCTGACCTTTCATTAGCAGCCACAAGAAATGAATGAAAGTCAAGTATGTGGATCTAGGCTAATTCCATTTTCTCTCTCTCCCTTTCATTCTCTTTAAATTCAAGTCTTAGCTAATGGGAAAGAGAAAGACAAAAGCTGATAAGGCCGATGTAGAAAGCGTTTGTCCTTAATTCTGTTCTTGGCAAGCTTGGCTAATATTATGCTTTTGGATAATAAATAATGCTATATTTCCAAGACGATTAGGTGTTTTTCTGATACTTCAGTAACTCTCAATTTTTTCAGGATATATCAAAACAAAATTATAAGAATGTGCTGCGATTTTGCCACGTTGAAAAAATTATTTATCCTAAATAAGCTAAATTGTTTTATCCAGAAAATATTTACTGTCTACTTTATGCCAAATATGGTGCTAGGCACTGGGATGTAGAGCAAGAAAGAGGCGGCCCTTCCCCTCTCAGACTTCGTAATTTATGACAAAAGAGAAACAGTGAGTGAGTGATCATAGGGGAGCACACACCAAGAAGAAAATACATGTGATGTGATCCTCGTATGCCTGGCTCATTGTAAATGCCCAATAATGATGGTTCTTATTATTTCATGTGTTTTTACTCTCCTTACTGCTAAGCACCAGCACCACAACTGTTCCTCTAGGAGAAATCTGTAATTAGGGATATGAAGCCAAGAGAATATTACTTACACTCCAAGCTTCAGAGAGAAAGGTGTAGTAGGCAGGGTGTGGAGTCGGGACTCTGACACCTTAATTGGTTTGTGGACATTTGCTGACAGGAAACAGGGCAGCAACTGTGAAGGATAGGGAAGGATTGCGCCCTTGATTCTCTGCTGGCCACGCAGGTCCTCAATAATTCTGTGAATTGATTTGAGCAGCATTAACAGAAGTGGCTCATTAAACATTTGTGCTGTTTTGTGCTTAGTATTGTCTGGCTTTTCACGTAGAAGCCTGTTGGTGCGGATTTTTCCTTGCCTGCTTTGTCATTCCAACTTTCTCCTCCAGACCCTATATATTGACTATAAAATGTCAATGCGCAGTAATTCAAAATGCAGTAACAAATACGACTTTGTTCTTCTGGCATTTAAAATCGCTAAGACATTTTAGCCTGTCACAAGTGGAGTTGTCCCCCAGTCTTCTTTCTGGCTGCTTGGTGGGTGGAGACTCTTCACCTGCCCTGTTGGGGGTTCATGGTGACACCCTTAGTTAAATTCTCACCATATATCAACATCTACAGCTGCTGACTTGGGGCTGTTGGCATTCTCCATGCTGCCAAACCCAACTCTGTGATAATGACAGCGTTTGCCAGCACGCTTCTGTGGTGACTCAGGAGACAGGGTGGCCAGCAAAGCAGCCTCTTTGTGGGAGTGGATTTTGAGAAGTGCTAATTCCGTGGCGTCTTGGAGATATTAATATCGTGCTGGCAGTAGATAAACAGGCAGCAGAGGGGCACATAATGAGGAGAGAATCAGCCACAGCATCTTTTCCTCCTTTCCGTACCCGCACATATTATTTTTTTACTTCTTTTAAAAAAAGTAAGTCCCTGGATTTTGATGCAGAAAACCCTTAGGTGGATTAAACATGCACATAGACTGATTCGCTCAGCTCCCAGCGTCTCCACAGCTGAGTCTCTAAGAACAACACAGTGCGTTAAGAGTTAACTACATTTCCAAACAACACTAAATCATAGCATATGGTACAGTAGCCCATTGCTTAGCATACCCCCTCCCTGAAGGGCAGCTAACCAGATGGTTTGAGTGGGGCCTTTGGTGTAATTATGACAGACACAGAGAAAGATATAACCACTACTCTCCCCCAGTGATATCATGCCTCTGAATTTCCAGTACTTGCTACAGGTAATTTTTTGAAATTTTTGTTTTTGCGGTTTGGCTGCTTCACATCAAGGTCCCTTTCCAGGATGGGGAGGAACCATGCAAATATGCTTCATTCGTTGTCCGAGAGCCATTTTCAATGCACTCTTCTTTAGTTAGTAGATGTAGGTCACTTATCCTGGCACCTCTTTCTTAGTCTAGTGAAGAGAAGATTCAACACACTCGAAAACTGATTTAAGCAGGATTCTAGTCTGAGTATTCTGTAGTCTCTGAGGACTGTTTGGAATACTCCTCCAGAGCTGGTCATCTCAGCTTTAATTTTATTTGTTCCTCCATCTTGTGCCATTTTTTGTTAAGAACTTGTATTCCACCACAATACCTCCCTTCCATGCCCCGCTCCCCCGGTTCATTCATAGCCTTTCCTTCTCCACGCCCCTGGGTGAGAGAGTCACAGTGAGGAGTTCTGATGAGAGAAGCGTGCCACCTGTTACGTCAAACCACTGTTTCTAACATTGCCAACCTGGAAGCAGACATTTTCTAGTTAGAGTATAGGCTAGAAAGGAGATTTTGAGAAATTTAGGTCATGCTCTTATGAGTTTTATTTTTTATCTGTGCCTCATGTTTCAGAGCAGACTTTTCTAAAAGGTAGTAGCTTGTTTATAACATTCTGTAAATAGCCTGGCCTAATGTGTACTTCTTCTTATAGATATTTCCTGCTAGTTTTTATGTATGGATTGATATAGCATCTGACTGTACTAACCAGAAAAATGCTGAGCTAGGGAACTTTGTTATTCCACCTTTTATTTTGATTTCTAGCTTAGCAGCTCATTGGTTTTGAAATCCTTGCCTTTTCTCTCCCTCTGCCAGGATGCATTAAGACCTCCAGGTGCTAACTGTTATTATTTCTGTTGACTGAGCCCCATATGCACCTCTCGTGCTCACTGACCTATCTTTTCTGTTGCAGAAACATTGCTGAAGCCCTTGTCAGCAAAGGTCTAGCCACAGTGATCAGATATCGGCAAGATGACGATCAGAGATCCTCTCACTATGACGAGCTGCTTGCCGCCGAGGCCAGGTAAGATGACTAATTATTAAAGCAAACACGTTGGGACTCACAGTCTATCATGCCTAACCTCGAGCAGAATGGGATGGGAAATAATACCCTGAGAAAGCTTATATCCTTTCATTCCAATTTTTCTCCATGAAAGGAAAAAGGGCACGCTTCAAACTTGCTGTCTAACCTTGATTAAGTATACATGAACTTCTGTTTTTTAAATCTGCATACTATGTATATATAGGATACAATCTCCCCAGGTAGTTCTTATAAAATGAATCATACAAGCAAAAATAGTATATAAGATCTTCTTATCATCACCGTGCCATCATCATTCCCTGGAACTAAATGAAGCCCTGCGTACGTGTGCAGGACATTTGACTCTGGTTCTTACCTCTAGAAGCCTCTGCTACCCAGCCCCACCCATTTATCACCTATGGACCTTTTGTCATGTACAAAGGAAATGAAAACATTTATTAGGAAATGAGTTTTGCTTTCACACTTCTGACAGCTGGCAGGAGAGCATTTGAGAAGCCCTGTGACATTTTCCTTTTGTCCTTCATCCCTGTGGCTGGTTGCCCCAAGGACATGCATACTGCTCTGCAATATTTCTTACGGGTGACATTCCTCAAAGCTCTTACTCAACAGAGACGTCTGTCACTGGATGATTCTGCTAGTTGAGTGATTCCCAGATTTCCCAGGAAACAGCAAGAACTGAGCTACTATTGCTGAACTGACTTGGATGGCTCAGCAGACTGCTTGGTCTCCACCAAAATATATCCATTTTCAAAGTGATTGCAGGTGCTTGCCTCACTCAGCCGTTTTTCTGCGACCTAGGACTTAATTTAGTTTTAAAAGTTTGGTGATTGCCAGGTTATGCTCTACGGCTAGAGGAGGAATGAGTTTGGACACATTGTTATCTGTACTTCAGACTCTGTCGTTGAGATCACTTTTCTTACTCTTTGGCCCAGAACATTGCCCTGATATGTGACATTTACCTCTCACACCATGTCACATCCTGATGGATAGAGCATCTGTAGAATGTCACACAGAATGTCAGCTAAGAAATCAGTGTGTCAGGCTGCTGTAGCTTTTTGGGTTCTTTCTGTGGGTTTTTCCCAATAGGCCCTGTCTGGGACCTAATTCTGAGCACAAAGAGTATAAGGCACATTAATGGCCTATATAAAGTAATATGATAGAGAGTTCATAATTGGTGTTTCTCTTAATCCTCACTTCCTCATTTTTCTCTCCCTGCCTGTGCTATCACTCAGCCAGCTGAGCTAAAAGTACCCGTGGTGGGAAATGTAGCCTCACATCTCTTAAGTACTCTAGGACAGTCCCCTGGCTGTGGACCAGTATTGGTCTGTGGCCTGTTATGGTCTGTGGTCCACACAGCAGGAGGTGAGCAGCAGGTGAGCCAGTGAAGCTTCATCTGTTTTTGCAGCCGCTCCCCAGCACTGGCATCACCGCCTCAGCTCCACCTCTGATCATCAGGCATTAGATTCTCATAGGAGCAGGTGTCCCTGGTACCAGAAAGGTTAAGGACCACTGCTCTAGGAAATGGATAGTGGTTAGACTGTACTTAAGGTGGGATTTGGGCAGTGGGTCCATGCCGGACATACTCAGGCCAAGCTGGTAACTAGAAAAATAGGTTATGCATTCCTAGAGTAGCAGGAACATTTAGCAATACAAAGGGATGTAGTCTCCTATTTTCTCCCCTTCACTCTGCTACTAGTGAATATTTAATTCTGACAGGCAGGTAAGCTTGAAATTAATTTGCATAGCTGCTCTGGAAAGTGAGGCCACAACAAGCTCTCTTATTATGCTGTTGGAAGTGGCAATGTTGTGCTATAATGTTTAATGAGTATGAACAGAGAATGAAAAATTTTAAGTTTTAGGTTAAGAGGAAAACAGCCTCTTTAGTACTCATTTTGAGCTGAAGGAATGTAACAAGATGCTTGCCTGCTTAAACAGTGAGCTGCCTGGAGATAATTGTGTTGAGCCACCGCTTTCAGACTGATGGTAGAAAAACTGGCTTCAGGGTCACTGCATTGTTGCTGGTTGAGTAAACGGAGAGAAATTGACTACTTCCCCAGTCCCGTGAGGCATTGCTCTAAGGCAGTAAGGACCTCATAAAGATCTAGGAGAAATGGCCAGCGTGAGTTTGAGTGAGTTTTCCTGTGGAGCAGTGTTGCCGGCAGCCCAGGACGGTGGCCCAGTGCTATCTTCTAGATGCTAACCCTCAGCAGGGTAAGTAAAGATCTGAGAGAGACCAGATCACCTGCCAGGGAGGAATAGTGGTTTTCTAGACATCAAAAAAATATTTTCAGTGCAGAATGTACCATCCTCCCCCCTTTTAAATGATAAAGTCAACCTCACTTCAAGACCACCTATTTTCTGACACTCTGCTTTATTTTGGTTTGCCTTCAGTTTGAAGGACTTCATTCCCCCGGGCACCACTCATGTTCCCTTAGCGTTCTTTCTTCTGTCGCGTTACAGCATGTCAAGGCTGCTGTTACATGCTTCTTCTGCCCTTTATCCTGCCTGTCTGTTAAATAGTATCAGAGTTTAGGGTTGTTTTCCAGTAGATAAATTAGCTATGTTTTTCTAGTTGAACTCTGCCTTGGAATTTTATGCCCCCGTCTATGCATTTCCTCCACCTCCCAGCTTAGTGTCCTCTGCTGATCTCATTAGTGAGTTGTTTACTCCTTCCTGGGCCCTGAAAGAACCACTAGATAAGAGTGACTTTGATGCTGACCCCAAGTCTCTCACTGCATGGACTGTCACCTAACAGTCTTTTGTTTATCATCCTTTAGCCAATTTTTAATCTTCAGTGATTGCATACTAAACCAAGCCAATTTGAATTAATTTCCCAAGTAAAATTTCTTGAGGTACTGTGTCTAATGCTTTAGCAAAGGCCAAATGAATAACATCTGCTATGTTCATATCATTCGGTAAATAATAAGTGGTCCAAGGTAACTTTGCAAGGCTCGCATTCTCTGTAGTCTTCCCCACAAAGGTGTTGATTCCAACAGATTTCTTTGTCTCTGACCCCTGGTTGCCTGTTTTACCCTCTGGTTATCACTAGTTGTATTGGCGGTGGTGCATAGTGCTCTCCCATTGGCTCTGCTTTCCAATGCACTGCTTGGCCATTCATCCTTTTAGGGAAATGTTATAAGCTATGGGGAAAGGGCAGCCTGTTAACTCCCCTGACTTCTCGGGTCAGCGGAGCTGCCTGCCCAGAAGCTGATGAGCTTTCTCACAGCTCCGCGGCTGCTGCTTCCTCTGCAAAGGGGTTATGGTCTGCCAGCCTCTCTCAGATCATCTGATGAGAGCTCAGGGAGTGTTACCTAATGTGCCCATTGAGAGACCAGGTAAGACAGAAGAGGAAGAATACCAATACTGCTTTTAGGCATATCCCCCTGCCTGCCAGAAACAAGCTCACCCCACCTCAGCAGCTCTGTTCGGTTTGCTGACCTTTCCAGGCTCCTTCACACAGATGGCTGTCTGCTTTGGGGAACCCTCGTTATGCCTCAGATACATAGCACATCTAGAGGAAGCCACATCTTTTGTCGTTTAAAGGATAAATAAACCCCTAATTCCCAATACACAGACATTCTTTTCTAGTTCACTTGTCTATCATCGGCAGCCTCCTTCTTCGTTACCTTGTGTCCTGGCAAGATAAAGTGTTGGCATTTTTTAATGTACTCTCAGGCCTTGCTTCTCTCCTGGGCTCCATTGAAAAGCCCTTGATTTCGTCCAGGGTTCTAAGAGCTGCTGTGTGTGTTCTTCATATTTTTAGTAAAAAGAACTTAGGAGCAGCTGATCCACACTTCTTGGTGACACTCCTGAACTTGCTTCTCCTTTTTAGAGACATCATATGGGCTTCTTTGGGAGTGTGACACATCTTTTTTTTTTTTTTTTTCTTTTTTCTGCACCATCCTAATTTTTCATTATCTATATTGACTTTGCAACTTCTGAATTAATTTCTAATTCTCGTTTAACTTCAGTATTTCTCAGTCAGCTGGCCTGCTGCATTCCTAGTTTGATGAGTGGTCTTAAGGTAGGGCTTTTGACCCCTTCAGAGAATCTCTCACATCCTTCTGAGAGATACTGAGTCATTATTGGGACCCTTTATTGTCTCTGAGGTGTTACAAAATCTCCATATACTCTATTTTCTATATTTGGTGTAAAACACCCAGTTTGACTTTAAACAGGTGAGAATGTGAATTTCCTTAGCATTCTAGAGCTCTTCCAAGTGGGCTTTTGTTGAGCTTGCTATGGACACTGAAGACAAGCTGGAATGCTTGGAATCAGATCAAAGCCTGGCTGTGTGCCTTGTTTTCCTTGGACATCCATACCTGGAGGATATTATCTGTGTGAGTTTTTCTAAAGCTTCGAATAGCTTTATTTAAAAATGTAATATTCTAAGGTTTCCTGGAAACTGTTAGATTCTGGCTCGTTGCAGGAAAGCACAGAAGTTATGTTAGTTCAGCAGTTGGGGCTTTATCCCTTTAAGACACCTCTTAATTTTAAGATTTTGTGATATCAAGATGGGATGTATATATTCCGAAAAGAAAGCGATGCCCCAGCTTGACTGCGGAAAAGCAATTGTATTGAACAATCTAGTGTCTGAGCAAATTTAAATGAATTTAGATTCATTTCGGACATAAATAATGAGGTTAGGGTTATCGCAGGAGAAGAGGAAAGGCTCTTATCGTTTCATGTGTATCCTATTTCTTGCCCAGCACACTGCAGATTAAGAAAACTGTGATGTTGTCCTCCATCTTTGAGAAGCAAGCAGCAGCCCGCCCCTGTCTCAGCTCTGCCGTGGCTCCCTCTCTTCCCAGTCCCCGCGGGACTCAGTTTTCTGATTGACCAAACCTTACAACATCCCTTTTCTTTAAAAAGAAAAACCACCAACTAGTGCTCCTGCCTTGCTGACTTCTGCTTGTCCAACCTCCCAACCCCATCAGCACCAGTCGTTGATTAAAATCCTATCAGGTATCTCTCGCTTTCAC